GCTACTGAAGAGGCTAAAACTGAGGCAAAAGTGGAGGAGTCGGCAGCACCGGCGGCGGCTGAAGCAGTAGAAGGCGTCGTTGTTGATGATTACGAGGTGGTTGATGAGGAGGCTAAAGCAAAAGAACGTGCCAAGGAGGAGGCAGAGGAGAAGAAGCGTGAAAAGGAACATCAGGAACTGATGGAAAAGCACAAAGCCCTGCTGGAGCGTCGCCGACAGGCAGGTGAATTGAATACGCAGTTTCAGACTAAGCTGGTTGAATACTTTCGCCGCAAAAGGGCGGATGCAGCCGAGCAGGCAGTAGGCGAGAGTGGCGGTGGTAGCAGCCTGGTTGACAACACGGTGGACTTCAATCAACGCTACTCCAAGTACATTGTCACGCTGGCCGAAACGCGCAATCAATTTTTGTCTATGAAAGATGTGCTGGACACGCAGATTGCTGAACTGAAAGAGACGTCAAGAGTACGACAGAATGAGGCGGCAACATCTCACGAAAAGGTTATCAATTTCGTGGTATCGCATGCAAAAAAGGCGGTCAGTAACCGCACCGGCCGACCCTTGAATATAAAAGAATATGACTACTTTTTTAGCCTGCTAGCCAAAAAAGAAAAGCTGGTAACAGATGTGCGTCTGGAAAGCATTAAGGTACAAAATGAAGTGAACAAAATTGATGCCATCTTCAAGTCCCAGGAGGATCTAGCTGACGGCCTCCACTTAATCGACTTTGAACAACTCAAAATTGAGAACCAGACTTACAATGAGAAGATTGAGGAACGTAATGAGGAGATAGGCAAGCTGCGACGCAAGATCAACAATACTGTGCAAATAATGACTCACATTAAGGAAAAGCTACAGAGCTGTCTTGCTGACAACGCCAACCTTACGCATGAACTCTCTCAGACAGACAATGATCTGAACGCCAATCGAGATAAACTGACGAAAATTAAGCAGTCTCGTGACAGTCTGCGTGCTGTACACGCCAAACTCCAGCGATCTTGCGGTTTACTGGGAAAACCGGAACTCCTCCGAAACTATGAGAATTGCATGGACGCTGTTGCAGCAAAGCGTGAAAGACTGAATGAGCTCAGACAAGAAACAAATAAGTATCTACAGCGGGCCGAAAAGTATCGTGAGAAAATAGAAGGTTTTCAGCAGAGTCCTCACACGCTATGAACCCCATCCCGATATTCTGACATCTAATTGTCCGTGCTCAATATTCAAACACAACCCAGCAACCAAATTTATGGAAGATTTAAATGTCATCTGAAAGAGTCCGTTGTATAATCTTTTCCAGGTTCGCAGTATCAAATACTACGATAATATTAATAGGTATAGTTGCCATAGCTTATTACAGCCCTTTCGTTTTCGGCTAACTAACGGTGTTTTCAGTCAATTTATTGCAATGGAAACACTTTTATATTTAAAGTGTGTTCACTTCTTCAGAAAAAGCGTCCAGTGAACTGGTCGTCAAATTTTAAAACCCTATCAGTGCTGTAAATAACGACAAGGGCCTTTCGTAATTAAAACACTTCGCTAGTAGTAATTAACAATAATCTCTGGTGGTAATATCGGCACAAGTGTGATGTCCCTCTAAAAAATGGGGGATCGAAATATTCTAAAAATTGTATGTCCTTCGTTCGCGTATACCACCACACAACGGCATAAAGAGTTGTGTTTACTATTAAATATCCTTCTAATAATATACAGTTCAGTGTTTGGTGCAGACAGGTCAATATTTCCATGCCGTTCAACCTCCTAACTCATCATTGCTGCTGCCTACGAAATATCGCCTAAAATTTACAATATACTTTTGATAGTAAAGTGTATTCGCTCTTCAAGAAATTGACTGTTTATCTTCTTTCCGAGGCTTTAAGGGTCAAACTGGCTACACCTCGCTAACTTTTATCAGATGCCACTAGGTAAGCCTAGACGGTAGGAGTACCTCGTGGGGCCATCTGGGGGGCGTGCGAAGGGCGCCCCTCGGTCTTACGGGCTCCTGATTTTAGGGGAAAGGACGAGTGGGGCATCTCAGGGAACAAATAAGTTCGCAATAATCCTGTAAAATAAAAAAAGTTACGAGGGTAACTTGGGGTGCGTAGTCAAACCTCGGGCGGGGACACTGAAGTACGCTTTATATCATCGCTAACCCCTTCCCCACCCGGCCAACGGCGAGCACATGTATGTAAGGGGAGTGTGCCCTGACCTCAGGCGACGCCATTAAGTTAGATTTTCTAATAGTACCAATAACCCCAACTAGAATAAATATTAACGAGTGCAGAAGTTGGAAGATTGTTGAATTCGCCCAACTTAAAATTTGTAAGTAAGTGATAATCCCCGTGGTTAATTTGAAAAGCCATTCCTGCTTAATATACTGACTTAAGCGGTTAATGTAGGCGGTGGCCTTTCGAGGACACCTCCGTAGTTCAATACCATCATCCAGTCTCTACTGGGTCGACGGCCGTAGTACAGAAATTTGAAGATTATGGGTAATTTAACCTACTTAAAATTTGTAAGAAGGTGGTTATAGTGCATAAGGACCCTTCTGCGGCCCCAGTAGGTACTCTCACCGCCTAGACCTGTTGGCTCCGGCTGAAGGATAAAGGGAGAATGTGTCAAGCCATGGAACCGTATTTTGACTTGGTCCTTTGAAAATTTTAAAGGCAGTTTGACAAAGTGAATCATCTCACTACCAACAAACATAAACTCAGATATCAGCGCTAAATGCAGGTGAAGACGAGATGTGTCGCTTGGACCAACTTGCTTTGGTTGGTTGTGATTGTAATCGAAGGCAGTTTTTATTGTGCGTGGAGCAGACGACACAGACGACCTCCTTAGCTATGTACGCTACCGTTCCTCATCCCACCTCTAATGGCTTTGATGCTATCATGATAACAGGATCAGGAAAGGCGGGGGACGAGGACGAGGAAGGCTGTGCTGGTTTTCTATGACTATGAACTCATTCACTCGCAATGCACAGTGATGCCTCCGATATGCTCTGAAACAGATGATAGACAGCTTCACAGGCGACGTTTGATATTCTCAGTTAAATTAGTAGCCACGAGTAAGCTAACCATACTAGACATGCCAAAATGTAGCTAAGGCAGACTAATGTGTTAATATTGTAGAAAGAGTTTACAGCAGAATGCAAAGTGGCAATGAAAATTAAGTAAAAGTAACAGGGTTTCTGACAAAGACACAAAAGGTGGCCACACTCTGAGGACAAAGGATATTTTAGCGTGTAACATGAGATGGTATTTTACGTGGGGTAGAACCTAATGATGGAAAGTAGTACGTGATGCAAAGTAAGCGTTAGAACAGTTTCTATTTTCCCGAAAGAATTAAATAAGTTTTTTGGACCTTGAAAACCACCAGGAGAATTAATTAAATGGGATTAAAAACGGCAAAATACCGTAAATAAGGACATTATCACCAAAATGCAAATGGCTGGAAAACCCACTACCGACTAAGGAAATGTGTGTTCCAACTGCACAATCGACGCGTGATGCCACTTCAAGCAGTTCCGTAGAAGAAACTAATGTATTAGGATTAATTCGAAGTTTTACAGTGCTTGAATACAGGAGAATGAGGGCAATGGCTTGATCGGCAGCAACGTAAATCAAGCGACCTAAATGAACCGAACCGAATCGAAATTAAACAGTGCTACTTCTACAATTTTAGTAGATAGGTTAACATATTATTTTGGGATGGACATAAAATGCACCGAATACAGATACGTAAATAGGTTTACATAAAACTGTGAGGACAGTTTAAGTCGTACTTTCTCTATTTCGGTCTACGTACACATTCGTACTTACCAGGGATGATTATACGGAACATTGTTACGCAGATGATGATGATTATTCGACCATCGATTTCGATGAAGTCCGCCATATGCACCAACAATGACTGTGTTACAAGGGATAGTTTGAAGTGATAGCAGACGTAGTTTGTGCCAAACGCACTTCTCACCTTCACCACGGGTCAACAAGACCAGATGGGATCCGGCGTTGGCTACTTTCTCCAATGCAAGCCAGAAAGACCGCCTAACTTTGTCTTAACTGACAGTAGACTTTGCAAAGGTACTACCGTACTACCTACCCTCACTCGCCTTTAGTAGGTGCCAAGGCAGGCTCAATAAGGCCGAGACGGATATGGTTACTTTTATTTCTACTAAAACTAGCTAGCAATGTAACTGCGTGTTAGTAGTACCGGTACTAACACTGACGTTAACATTTTTTCAGAAGTGACGTTGAGTAAAGCCATCGCTGGGGTTCATACCGACTTGAGCTCAACAGGAGTGTGAATGTGGATTTAAACTATTCCAAATAATTGCATGTTTGAGACGCTGAGCACAACAGAACTGGTATTGGTTTCCACCCTTTCAACTCTTTCCATCAGGCTGTGCCCGATTCTACTTGGTTGGGAATACGACGAATATGATACTGATGCTAGAAATACGTGCCTATGCTTAATTCGACTAATCATGCTCCCTAAGATCAGTAGTAGTGTATTACTATACGACCTGTGTGTGCTTCTTTAGAAGTCGGCACCCAGTATGCGCTCTCAATCTGTATGAGGTAAAACGATTAGCTCATGCGTTGAATAAAGCCTTATTAAATAATAACGCAAGTTCTACCATGCCTTCATACCATAACGTTTACCATCTGTGGACTACTTGTAGGCTTACTGCAGTATCTAGCTCTAGTTTAGAATTTATAAAACGTCTACTCCTATCCCCTCGATCCCAGCAGGGATTTGGAGTCTGAGTTCCTGCTGTTCCGAGTAACTACATTTTTCGAGGCCCGGAGCATCTCAGGGCTTTCCTTGGTTTCCGCCCTCTCAATTCTATTCATGGGGCTGTGTTATCTTATTGGTCGACGAAACATTATTAAGTAATAACTCAGATTCTACCATGCCTCTAGGCCGCATGGTGCCATTTGCCGTTTTCAGGCTAACCTTCGACCTATTACAGTATCTAACTCGAGCTTGAGGTCTTAGGACATGCATTGTGTCTTATGGGAGAGCAATCTGTTCCATAATCAAATAACATTGCTATATCCTATAGCTGTGTCAGTGGCTGGGAAATAGGCAATACGCATAGCTTATGGGACTATGAGCTTACTGCCATCCTCCTTTTTTGCTTGAGAGGTGACTGTAAAAGACACCCGTGTTTGCCCTTTCATTGGTTTTGGTGAGTACGTTGCCCCTGTATGGGGGAGTGCAGACCCGTGATGGGCTAGGTAGAATAGTTAATCACGCGCGGAGAAGCGAACCGCACTGCCGAGTCATCATCACGCCGAGTATCCGGAAAGTGATAATATTACGACAATAATGTGGAATAACTAGCAATCATCGCGTCAGGTACGACCACCAGTGAGGATCTGTGGCTAGGATTAGGAGGCATGGCAACTTTATCGCATAAATACGGCACCCCTGGCACTCTCACTGTGTATGTTTGCGACCACCTCTGATAACGGATTTAAGCGAGAATCCAAAACATTATGCCGATAAACGCCGTGTTCCAGTAATCGCACCTTCATCTCCTTCGCCGTTTTAAGCTACATATAAGGCGATGAAAACGATCTTTTTCTTACTCAGTTTTTTTTCGAGTTCGTACGTTCGAGTCACGTTTAAATGGAGCTTTCGACCAAAAATCTCACCACGCTGAATGACCAAAGAAAATAAACATTTGTGGAGTATCTGCGCCTGAATGAAGCTTACCTTCGCTCTGAATGACCTTTAATCGCACTTGCATTTTCGTTTTCATTATGCCTTATAAGCTGTCACAAGTCTCTCTCTCTCTCTCTCTCAACGCTAGGGTAGTCTGCGACAGAATCTGAGAGGTTTGTGTACAAAAAATCCCCACCCCCGTGTGTTGTTACCTTTGATCACTATAAAGTTGGCCATCGTCCTTAGATCTCCGTAGCCCCAGGAATCCATCCAAGGTAAGCGTTGTTGATAAGGGTATTACGGTTGGATCATATCACAAGGAAGAAAAAATAAACTAAAAAAGAAAATGTATAAAAGCAGAAACTTAGAGATGCAAATCACACATTAAAGATTGACTTTTTCACCATATCTTAATAATTCACGATGCCTTCTCATGCATTTGGGCAGATATTGTAGCATGATAAGTTGAAAAGCAACCGTGTGTTGCTTAAAAAATTAAGTGA